TTTCTTCCCACTAAAAAGCTTCATCTCTTTCCACCAGGAACACAACCCCTATATAGAGGTTCTTTTACCTTAAACATTTCTTTCAAAAATAGAGTGAACAGTTTACTAGGACATAAAGTTCGTTCTCAATAGGCTTAAGCCCTTTACTGTAGAAGGAGTAAGTGCACCACCTATCTTCTCTTGGCACAATAAATATCTTAATTATTGTTTCACCTTCTTTTATTGCCCAAGGAATGGCATTTTCATTTGGAAATACCTCAACTGCTGCTCCAACCTCAACCACCAGCTTGTTTGGTAACACTGGTACTGCCAGTAATCTTTTCGGTACCAAGACTGCAGGCACTCCCCCTTCCCTTCTTGGTGGCAGGTTTGTAATTTTTTAGAATCATCAAAAGATCAATAAAAAGATGAATATTGTCGTTGTTATTCAATTATGGAAGAATATTTAAGTAAAAATGTAATGAAATTTTTGTTGGAAATATTTGCACTTTTAACACGCTAACGTTTTCTTAGCTCAACCACTTCTACCCCAACTGCTGGAACTTTATTCGGAGTCAATCCTTCAGCTGCTCCTGCTGCACCTGCAACTGGCTCAACAGGTTGATATATAAATTATAAACTCAATCTTACAAAACTTTTGGGGATACTTGACCTATATTATTTAAGCCAAATGTTGGCACTTTATTCCCCCTCCCATCTGTGAGCCACTTTACACAGCTACAGAGTAGGAATCATACTAACATAGGCTTTATAGATTCCTTTTGTAGACATAGACTGAGGCTGGCTCACATAATTCAACATGTTTATGATTCGTTGTGTATTAAATTAAAAGGAGACATCTGTCAGAGCTAGTTACCTCGTGTATCCTTGTTATCTTGCTTTAATTTCCTCTATCTTCCAGGTTTATTTGGGAATTTATCTGCGGCCAAGCCAGCAACAGCAACAAGTACAACCTCACTATTCGGTAACAACTCACTTGCAGCAGCTCCTGCTGCCTCAACTGGTTCAACCTTAACCCTTGGTGGAACAGCTCCCAGTTTATTTGGCAATACCAACACTCCAGCCAGTTTAGCTGCACCTGCACCCAGCCTATTTGGCACACCTGCACCTGCACCCGCTGCTGCACCGGCTCCTAAAGATGATGCAGTTACGTTGGGTGGAATAAAGTCAGATAATGCTAAAAGTACAGGACCAAAAGCTTGGAGAAACGAAACTGTGCCTGAGCCTGTGTGTAAGCTGGTGGACGAAATGAAAAAGTTTCTGAAGGAGCAGAAAGAATTGAAGGATGAGATAAGCCGGTTCTCTCCAGCTTCAATTGATAAAGTTAAAGAAGAGGTAGAGATCAATAGAATACAACGACTTTCTTTCTTCAACAGCACTCAATTTCAGATTTAGGATATTAGGAAACTCTGCTTAGCTTTGCTCAATTTTCTGTTAATCGTAAAGTATATACCAAATATTTTGATTTCGTTGAGAGGGATTCCGGATCTTAAGACTTGCTTTATTATCACAGGTTGAGTTTTTAATAAAGAATGCAAGATATTTGTCTCAAGCAGTTGTAGCTGACACAGTTGCCGTTGCAAATCTGAAGAATTCCGTTATTGAAGAACTCAAAAATTGCGAGGTAACTTCATTTAATTTGAATTCAAAATGATTCAAATTTAATTTGTTTTCCTATTTTAAAGGTCAAGGTAACTTTTTGCTAGTGTATCTGGATCATTGAAAATGAAAACTACTATGAAAATGAAAATTACTATGCACACTGTACTTTTACTGAAGTTCAACACGAGATATAAACCAAAGTTAAATAATTCATGAAATTTTAGGTCGCCCAAAGAACAAGAGACTCCACAAACCTCCCATTAGAAATGTCACTTCCTATGGAATACTTCTACAAACGTGTTAATCAGTTTGAGGAAGCTATCCAAACCTACAAAGTTCAGGTAATAATTTAACAATTTTGATTTTTTCGCTAGTTGAAAGAGTGATCAATGAAGTGATGAGTTGGAAAAACTGTTCTCAGCGTTTAAGGTTTTCTAAAAGATAAGTACATTTTTCCAACATTTTTACTTCTTAATATGATAGCTTCTAAAAATAGAAACTACCTCCAGATTGACGAGATCGAGAGCGTGATGACTTGTGATCACAGCGTGGTTTCAACAGCTAACATTGGAGCTATGCTGAACAGAATGCAGCAGATATTCGTAGCTTTAGCTAGCAAGCTTCACTCGTTACACGAGGACATCAAAATACAGAAAGATTTTTATCTCAACTATCGAAAAGTAAATATCATGTCGGGATTATAATGTAAACGTACGTGCTTGTAGCATTAGATGGCGCTTCAAGTGCAAATGTTTTTAAAGATATCGTGCTTATCAAAGCAAGATTTGCTTCACAATATTAGTGGGGGGGGGGGGTGTCACGTCCGTCTATGTCCGCTTGTCTCATAGAATCCAAAAAGGACAGGACATAGGCGGACATAGGCGGACATAGACGGACATAGGCGGACATAGGCGGACATAGACGGACATAGGCGGACATAGGCGGACATTAATGGACACCTAAATTGCTAAATAGAATGTTCAATTTTTGCTGTTATAGGGGGATCATGTTTTTTGTCCGTTCGGTACCCTATATTTTCAAAACGGACAAAAAATAGAGCGGACAAAAACGGACAAAAATGGACAAAAACGGACAAAAATGGAAATAACATTTAGGTGCTTCCTCCTACTCTTCCTCCTCCTCCCCCTGGGTCTTCCTGATCTTCCTCAGTCCTCTTCCTCCTCCCCTCCTCAGTCCTCCTCCTACTCCTCCTCCTCGTCCTCAGTCCTCCTCATCAGTCCTCTACAGTCCTTCTCCTCCCCAGTCCTCCTCCTCCTCCTGAGTCCTCCTCCTCCTGAGTCATCCTCCTCAGTTCTCCTCCTCCTCCTCCTAGGTCCTCCTTCTGGGTCCTCCTCCTCCTGGGTCTTCCTGATCCTTCTCCTCCCTCTCAGTCATCCTCCTCAGTCATCCTCCTCAGCCATCCTCCTCAGCCATCCTTCTCAGCCATCCTCCTCAGTACTCTTTAGTACTCTTCAGTACTCTTCAGTCCTAAAAATGTTTGTCCGCTAATGTCCACCAATGTCCGCTAATGTCCACCAATGTCCATCCAAGTCCGCCAATGTCCGTCCGGGTCCGCCAATGTCCGTCCGAGTCCGCCAATGTCCGTCCGAGTCCGCCAATGTCCGTCTGAGTCCGCCAATGTCCGTCCGTGTCCGCCAATGTCCCAAAAAACACGTCCGTTGTCTCATAGAATCCAAAAAGGACAGGACATAGGCGGACATAGACGGACATGACACCCCCCCATTAGTTGAACTAACTTAGTTTAATCTTGCTCAGGTAATCTACAGAGACGACACTAACATATTCGAGATAAGGAGGAAAGGAAGACTGGTTTCCCAGGTGTGCCCAACTCCTTTCTCAGATACAACCAACATGCTACCCTCCTCCTTCAGCCAGGTAAACATTGGGACACAAAGTATATGATGGAAAGTCTAGAACAGTCTAGAACAGTCCAATTTTTATGCTTCCATCGAAATTGAATTATTTGATTGGTTGACAGTTTGAGGTCAATCGGCTCATGATACATTGTTTTACTTATTCCCCCCATCATTGAGAGACTTAGAGATTTTAACAGATAGTGCAGTGGTTATGATTACTGGCATGTATACCCAGCTGAAGTATAGGTATATTTTACAAGGAATATAATTGAATTTGTAAATTGTAACTCTGTTTCCCCAGATGAGCACGATAAGTTCTACACTTCCACAAAACACAACTCTAACGTCCTCCAGCCTGTTCAACAAGACTGCACCTAGTTTCAATACCAGTTTCAACACCACATCAACACTGTCGACTACTCCTAAACTCGGAATCAAAAAGAAGAGATGAAAGGTCCTAAGCGTTGTGATGCTATAGATCTCACTATAAGTTTTGTTTTGGTTGAACTGATTGACTATTGATAATAATGATACGGAATTTGTGACTTTGAGTTCGTTTATTTGTACACTAAATTCATTCGGCTTTAATCAAGGGTTTATTTCTATTAATAATTTGGGGTTGAAAGATCATTTAGATGTTGGAAATGGGAAGTTTAAGTGGGGAGACATCTTTCAAGATTTTGTCGACTGGTATCGACATTTTAACACTTTATAAGTTCAATTTTAACATATTTATTTTACACATTATATAAATTGACATCGCATTCTCTGAATGATTCTCGTTCTTTACTGCTTCACTCAAGCTCATGTTCTTGAACAACCTTTAGAATTCATTATAATGAACAGAAAAAGAACATTCCAAACTTTTCAATGCAATGCTTGTTAAAGTTGCTTATTACTACCATTCTATCAGCTAGTGCTGAGTAGCACATCGTGGAATTAGACATATCTTCAATACACTACTACACTACTACACTACTACACTACTACACTACTACACTACTACACTACTACACTACTACACTACTACACTACTACACTACTACACTACTACACTACTACACTACTACACTACTACACTACTACACTATACATTATACTATACACAGTACACTATACACAGTACACTACACACTGTACATTATACTATACATAGTACACTATACACAGTACACTACACACTGTACACTATACACAGTACACTATACATTACACACTACACACTATACACTACCTAGTGTTGAGTATGCAGTATTATCACATTACCCGCTGTGTGCGTCCTTAAAATTGTCCTAAAAGTACCCATTTCCTGTTTCATTCAATATGTGGCTAATTATTATAATATAGAGGTTGTGCGACTTTGTTTTACACGTGACAGTGATACTGGTATTTGATTGGTTGGAGCTGCAAGCTGATTGTTCTCACGTGTTCCAAATACACATTTAATTACACAATTGTAATTTCTCAAAAATGACATTTTCTGTTAGGCGGACAATCCGTCCCCTAGTCTACACGACTAGCATGACTTCACCCAAATTCTTCGTCAATTGGACCACCTTTAAAAAGTCATGGGAGGATGTAACCGTAGCTCACTGGCTCAAATACCCCAACCCCTTCTCCAAACATGTTCTCTCAGAGGTTTGTTATTAAATTCAGGTTTGTTGTTTCACATATTATTCTGTAATGTTATCCAATGAGGAACTTCTTTCAATTCACGGAGCAAGATTTATGCTAGATTAATATCAACTACTTCAACCAAATTTCCCGGATTATTTGGCAGCACTTAATCACATGTACAACATGTTTATGTCTGTACAAGGTACATCATACTACATAATAATATATTACAACCAATAATTCAGGATGTAGTAGAGCGCCGCATTGAAGACGGTAAACTGTACACAGTAAGGTTTATAGTGAAGAAGCAACGTATCCCTACATCTTTTATGTGGATGGTCCCTGCAAAACACAAGGCCTGTTATGTTAAGGAAACTTCTGTGGTGAGTTTCAATACATTTATCAATAATTTTGACACAACTGATTAAATCTTAGAAGTAAATCATTGATGGAAGGGGAAGCATTCATTCATTTATTAAATTCGCCTGTACAGTCACCAGTACAGTCCTTCGTTATGAATAGGTCTTCCAGCCATTTAACCAATTCAATAGTAGCTGTGTATCGCCTCCCTGTAGATAGCCTCCTCCTCCTCACTTAAACTCTTCCCTCACAGATAGATCCAGTGAACCAGGAGTGCACGATAACAACAGAGAACTTGAACTGCAGGTTTATCAGTCTGGTTATAGAGACCCTCAAGTACAAGAGTGTTAGAATGTGTGAGACTCTCATGGAGAGACGAACTCGCATATCCGCCAAAATAGAGAGCATACAAAAGTTAGTATTTTATCGTCAGATGAAGGGCTGGAGAACTCGATTTATTGGTATAAATTGAAAGTAAATTCCCAAATTATGATTAATAAGTATATGGTGTCTGTTAATTTCATGTTTTAAACTTAACCTATAACCATATTAACGATAAAATGTTATTTTCAGTTACACGTTCGACAGATACCAGAAGAACATCGCCAACACTGATAAAGGCATGATGTGTGTTCTGGGGTTACTGGACGAGTGTAAACGACAGGGTCTCACCGGTCAATGTACTATATAATAACGGCCACTACTCTTGCCGGTTTAAACCGTTCAAAACCGGTTTTGGACGATTTCCCAACAGGTTTAAACCGGTTTCAGGTGGTTCCCTACACCTTCACCCCCCCCCCCCCCCCCCCTAGTTTCAGTCACGTGAGCTGCCCCCATGCCTAGTACAATCATTTGGTATTAATTGTAGAGTTGATTATTAATGCTGAGCATTAATTAATATATAAGAGGTATTACAAACGGTTGTTTAAAGGATCTTACTTCAAGGACTAAGATTGAGTTTTTGTAAATGATTAAGTGATGATTTTGTTACATGTGTGCTTCATGTTTCATTCATGTTCCGAGTATTAATTTAAGTTATTTTTTGATTGATGTTACTTTTTATAGAGGAGGTAAAGCTCGTTTTTGGGCTAAATTATAATATACAAAATAGGAATTAGAGATCTTAGATTATACATGTGTTAGAGTAACGATTTTTATAATAAACTCTATAACGAACCGTTTATAACAAAGTTTGCAAAGGTCCAGGACGGTTCTTATATCGATTAGGAACATCACGATGCAGACGATGTCAATTTGCTCAAGTTGGAGGAGTTGCCTTTATAATTTATAAGTTCTTTTGATTCAAACACTATCAGACAAATTTTTCATGCATCCCAAGTATATTGTGTGACTGAATCTTTGTACCTTAACTAATTTATTACCTTAACTATTTCCTTGTTTCACTGTGATTTGTCATTGAATCTTTTGAATCTGAAATCTGAATTCTGAGTAGCTCTATAAAATGATAAAATAATTTCACACGGTAGAGATTGCATGTATTTTTGGGTAATCTTTGCTATGTTACTTTTATAATGCTCTTAGAGTATAAAATATTTCAAATATAATGAATCATCTACCATATTAAATGCAAATTATCTAAATTACTCATTCTAGTTTAGTGTATGTCTAGTATGGCATCATTACGACCAACTTCCACCATCGCACGTTTGGCAAACACCCTGTCAAGATGTAAGTCAGCAGCTGCTGCAGCGCCTGCACTGGCGCCCCGCGAGAAGACCTTCCAGATCTACAGATGGGACCCAGAAAAGCCAGGTGACAAGCCCCATATGGACACTTACAAGGTTCGTTAATTGAAATCTATCATTATTGTTAATTTAATTATAAGCAAGTAATTACTGACTTCAGCTTCATAATATATAGAAATTTATAGTATAGTTTGTAATATAGTTTGAATCCGACCGGAATTTCAATTGCTTCACTGGACCAGATCTGAAAGAACAATCTCATTCAAAAGTAGCTGGTCGGTTCTTTGTTTAAAAGCAACAACTTTTTGTATCGAACTAATCGTATTGTAAATTTAAATAACCTCTAGTTGAACCTGAACGAATGTGGTCCTATGGTACTGGACGCTCTGATGAAGATAAAGAACGAGCAGGACCCAACCCTGACCTTCAGAAGATCGTGTAGAGAGGGGATCTGTGGATCTTGTAGTATGAACATTGGTGGCACCAACACTCTCGCCTGTATCAGGTATAGTCACAGCGCCATTTCTTAGATATTTCTGCGGTGAATTATTCATTTTGAAAATGGCGAATAGAAATTGTCACTTTGAACAGATGATAATATGCGATTTTGATTAAACGGTATTTTAAAACCCGTAATATCCCAAACTGTTACCAACAACCTCACTTAAATGTCACCCTTTTTCCAGCCGAATAGACCCTGACACAGAGAAAGCTATCAAGATCTACCCACTACCCCACATGTACGTGGTTAAGGACCTGGTACCCGACATGACTCACTTCTTCGAGCAGTACGCCAGTGTGCAGCCTTGGTTACAGCAGGATGAGGAGATTGACTACGGAGCAAAGCAGATCTATCAGTCTGTGGATGACAGGAAGAAGCTCGATGGACTGTGAGTACTTAAGTCTTAACTTAAGTAGTTAAATATTTTTGAGTTAAATATAGTCTATATAATTATCACTGTAACAGATAACGTTATTGGCACATATACATTGTTGGTATTCGCATAAAATATACCACATTTCACATGCAGCTAACATCGGACTATTTAAAGAAATGGATAATTCTGTTAAGTAAATGTGTGCTGAAAAAACGTTAATAAATTCAAAATCGCTAGTCGTATCGCCCTAGATCATTCTTGACCTTTTCAATGTATGGAATGATTCTGGTAATTTCTTCTTTGACGCATTAACATTAAATCTGCATTCTGCTGTACAATTAACATAACACGATACCAGTGACGCTGTTTCATGTAGTGTTATCTAATTGTGTTGTTGGCAATATGTTAGACAGAACCAGATTGTTCTAGAACGTTTCACTAAATGGAAGACGCGAAAAAGTAAATGTTGTAGTCGGTACGTGCTTTTTACGCGCGCGTCATATGATGCGCGCGCGCGCGTTTATCACACGCGCGCATATTAAATGATGCTATTTTGATTCGATAATGGAACGTTATCTATTCCGGAATCGGTCGCTGTGAAGTCACGGAGTAAAGTTAGATGGTTAGTTGTAAAACAGCGTACAATAATGCTCTTTTAAATCCTAGCTGATCATTGACCACTCTTCACGCCAAATTTTCCACGAACCCTCAATTAAATACAAATGCTACCTACCTATTGAACCTATTGAAGTAGGCATCTTCACGCAATCTGCGGACCACCTTGACTGAACCAGTCTATTATATTAATTTATCGAGTTAGAGTTTTCTGCACTGTATCCAGGAGTAGGGGGCTTGTCTGGAAGGGTGTCTAGGAAGTTTCCAAGAGATGTCTTGAAGCTTGCCAAAATCTATTGAGTATTGACAATTTTGGGGAGAACATCCCAGAGTCTTCCAGCTCTCACTGCGAATGAGTGGTCGTAGGTGGAGAGTGCAGCGGCTGATGCTTTTTTGCCAGAATGAGAGAATGCCAGACTCCCAGTCTGGCATTCTCTCCGAACATCTAGGTCATTTGGACATATAACCTGGAGAACTTTCCACAGATGTATGACATGATGGTGTAGCGTTCTCGGCGTCTTTGCAGGGATGTAAGTTTCAGTTCCTTCAGTCTATTCCAATAATCGGTGTCTTTGAGCCCTAGAATCCGTCTAGTGAACTGGCTAAGGTTGAGGGGGTTTAAGTTTTAATTGTACGGTGTGAGTTATAACTAATATTATTGGGGACAAAATGAGAGTTTTCACTGCAAAACAAAATACACAATGTATTGTCGACGTTTCGGTTACATGCCTTTGTCATATACGAATTACGAAACGATTACTATTTATATAGCTGCAACACACAATTGTTAAAATAAATATATTCAAATAAAATATTACTAGCAATAACGTGAAATACATACAGCCATGTAAAGAGTAATCGTTTCATCTATGAAAGAGTAATGTAGCCGAAACGTCGACAATATTTTGTTTTAGTGAGAGGAGATTCTCATTTCGTTCCCAGTAATTTATCAGGATCGACCCACTCAATAGAGCGATAAACGAAACAAACTAATAACTAATAGTGAATAAAAACAACAGCATATTTGTCTTTGTTGGATTGACAATGTTTTATTGGCCACACATCGACTTGAATTTGGTTGCTAACTATTCATTTGCGGGCACAATTTCAGTAGAGATGTGAATATGATTAGGTACAGTAAAATGTAGTAACACTTGTCACTTGTCAGGTACGAGTGTATCCTGTGTGCTTGCTGCTCGACATCCTGCCCTTCTTACTGGTGGAACAGTGACAAGTACCTAGGACCTGCAGTGTTGCTCCAGAGTTACAGATGGCTAGCCGACAGCCGTGATCACAAGACCAAGGTTTGTTCCTTTTCTGGTCTACATTCCCCAGCCGCTGTGACGTTCTAATAATGTTATGTTTATTGGAGATTAACACAATTTGATAGTAATTTTAACTTTTAAGCATTGGCAATTCTCCAATTTTTTTTGTGTACGTACGCATTGCCTCTTATAAAATGTTACTATGCATGTATATTGTGTTAATTATGATATTAGGTAACCACTACTAGGGGGAATGTTACTATATATTGTGTTAATAATGATATTCGGTAACCACTACTAGGGGGAATGTTACTATTATATATATTGTGTTAATAATGATATTCGGTAACCACTACTAGGGGGAATGTTCGTGCAAATCAATAAAATCTTCTCCCCAGGAACGACTTGAAAAGCTGGCTGATCCATTCTCCGTGTACAGATGCCACACTATCATGAACTGCACTAAGACTTGCCCAAAGGGTCTCAACCCAGGCAAAGCCATCGCAGAAATCAAGAAACTCATGGCCAAGAACTTATAGGCAGTGACCCTCGCCCTATAGCTGAAGAGAACATCTTTACTTGAACTGTGCTAGTGACCCCAAAAAGTATTGTGGATTTAAATTAGAATAGTGCTACAACGTTGACCCTGTTAGCCTTTCATAACCCAAATGTATTATCATCGGTATATCAATTTGGCGGTAGATAGATGGATCAAAAAGGCTGTAGAAAAGTGCGATCTATGATCACTATTAGTTTAGAGTTCCTTCCGGTATAGTTAACGATTTAACCTACACAACTTACAAGTGAATTCTCGTGATAATAGATAGCACTTTAATATCCTTTTCAATCCATCAATCAAACACTCGAGAATCTGCCGATGATATCACAAATGGGTAAAATTGGAATTTATTTCGTATTTATTGACAATTTTTAATTGGGATAGATTATTGAATGGCTGATTATGTGACCCTTTCATAATGGCGTGCTGCCAACTGCATGCAAGCATTTGTTAATCCACCATCTAGCTAGGATTGTAAGATATGAGGTATTCGAGTTTTGTTCAGTAAAATAACATAATACTAATAGTGTAAATTTGATAAATCAATTGAACTTTAACATTTCCCTAAGTTGGACTTGCTTTCTTGTTTATCGACTTAGGGGTCGTTCACATATTAAGTAATCAATATTTTAGCAATTTTTACCCCCCCCCCCCCTCCGTAATCAACCGTAATCAAGACCCAACCCTCCCCCCCACTCTTCGGCAATATTACGTAATCATGGCCTGACCGCCCCCCCCCCCTCCCCTCGACTTTTTTCCCTAGAAAACACTTTTCTCTACGTTTCATGCTACCCTGATCATGCTATCATGATGAGCCGAAATCATTGTTATGACATACGGCCAAGCATCTTCTAAACTACTTACTATTATAGCCGGATATTCGTTCAATTTCTAAATTTTATCACTATCAGAGTGAAATTGAGTGGAATTTGAATTAAAATATTGTCAAATTGTTATGATTCTAGAGGGTAAAAAGAGATTTATATACGGTATCAGGCTCTGCCAGCATCGATATGAACAGAGAGTACTGTTGAGTAATATAATAACACCACAGTGATCTAATGAAATGTCACGTTACCTAACCTGCTATCCAGATTTCCTAAATCCTAACTGCAATCTATCTTGTGAAGACTGATCTTACCAACTCCAGGTTTTTAGCTATATGAATATTTTACTGTGTCCAGAAAACTCAATCTTCTTTCCATACGGGTTCTTGATTAGTTAATTAATTGGATGATTCATTTGAGGGATATTTTAGTGAGCGTCATTTTAGAATACGAAAGCCGGCACGTAATTTTAAAGCGATAAAATTAAGAGACTCTCCTGGATTATATCAGATTTCAGTGGACAGAAGTAGAGGACCAAAACAACTTCTTCAAGCAACTACCTTCTACCTGTAGTCAATCTTGTGAAGACTCTACCCTAGGCCTATTTTATCAAGTTTGTGAATGTTTTAGTGTCCAGACTACTCAATCTTCCTTCTGTGAATCGTTATTAATTAGCAAAATTATACCATAAATTTCAGTAAACTAATTGCGATTCAATTACGGTACAGCTTATTTTACATTATTGTAAACTACAGCTGCCATGAATATGTCACTTAAAAAGTATAAGAAAATAACATGGAGAATTTCAGAATTTAGTACACAGAAAGAGAGGATCAAACCAACTCAGACAATTTTAACAGTCTCTCAACACCAGGTACCAAATTAAAATACTTGTTTGTGTAATTTTAAATTTTGATAAGGGGGCATACACAGTTTACTGACCATCTAGCGTACCGTTTCCTCACCAACGAATCTAGCATTTCCTTGTAACTACCAGATAATGGCGTGGTGGTATCAGGTAGTTATCGTTATCGCTATTATTCAGCTCCCTTCATGACTCATTCTTCATCATAAACAATAATTTAAAATATTCCGCCCCGCACATTTGTAGTCCATGATATCTTATCAAAAAATTAACTACTTTGCTCGCAAAAATTGACATGATAATATATTTTAGGTACCAGATTCCGGTCAGAGATTAAGCTGCGTTTCCAATATTTTCGTACTAAAGATCAACATTTATCTTTAATATTAAGGTATGTACGTAATACTCAACCCCTTACAACTCCCCTTAAGGGGGCATACACCAAAACAGTGGTTTGTGCCGTCCAACCCAAATGACCTCATAGGCAGTTCAGTGACCATCTAGCGCACCGTTTCCACATCAAAAAAAATTATTTTGAGAATACCCATTTTTGTAATCGAGCATTTCCTGGTTAGAGTGGAATTTTCGGAAAAACACAATTTGTTTCGTGAAGAGGCTATAAGTTAATCATTTCTTGCGGTATTGGGTTGAAATTTTGCTCGCCGTCTATTCACATCTATTTCATGGTATGTGTAAAATCTTGATATCGTATCTAAAAAAGCTGGTGTGTTATAAATTTTAAAAGTTAAAAAAAGTGAAATATCAATATTTTTAATGAAACCAACTTTATATGGAAGGTAAGCCTATACTACACATACTCTATGATTATCAGCTCAGTATCTACCTAACTGTGGATTCTGTTTCAATATTTTTACATGAAATTTTCAGAATCAACGTAGAATCGCATTTCGACCTTAAAATTTGGGACAGAATTTTGAGTTAGGCCTTTAAAAAAATTTGGCGGCCAAATTCTGAAATTTGCCGGGCATTTTTCAGAATTTGGCTGCCAAATTTTTTGGCAGCCAAAATTCTCAAAAATTCTGTCCCAAAACTTAAGGTCGAAATGCGATTCTACGTTGATTCTGAAAATTTCATGTAAAAATATTGAAACCCTTTTGAG